TGAGGGGCCGATCATGCTGCATATGACGGTCGTCGCCACCCGCTCGTTGTACCTGCCCATTCTCTCTCTTTTTGGGTCTTCAATGGTGGGGATGCTCGTCTCTAGGCCCTCGACCTCTGGAGTGGGAATGCTCGTCTCTAGGCCCTCGGGTCCTCTGGAATGGAAATGCTCGTCTCGAGGCCCTCGGCCTCTAGAGTGGAAATGCGCTCCAGGCCCTCGGCCTCTGGAGTGGAAATGCTTGTCTCCAGGCCCTTGTGTCCTCTGGAATGGAAATGCTTGTCTCCAGGCCCTCGGTCTCTGGTGTGGAAATGCGCTCCAAGCCCTCGGCCTCTGGAGTGGAAATGCTCGCTCCAGGCCCTCGGGTCCTCTGGAATGGAAATGCTCGTCTCGAGGCCCTCAACCTCTGGAGTGGAAATGCGCTCCAGGCCCTCGGCCTCTGGAGTGGAAATGCTCGTCTCCAGGCCCTTGGGTCCTCTGGAATGGAAATGCTCGTCTCCAGGCCCTCAGCCCCTGGAGTGGAAATGCGCTCCAGGTCCTCGACCTCTGGAATGGAAATGCTCGTCTCCAGGCCCTTGGATCATCTGGAATGGAAATGCTTGTCTCTAGGCCCTCTAGTCCTCTGGAATGAAAATGCTCGTCTCCAGGCCCTCGAGTCCTCTGGAGTGGTCCTCATCTGCTCTTCGTATTTGCCCATTAGCCCGGTCCTTTGGATCCTGAGCTGAGCTAAGCCTTCGTAGTCTGCGTGGAACGGTTTTGATCCCTTTGGGAATTCTTTTGTTTGATCCATCCTGGGATTCTTTTGTTTGATCCATTTTGGGATTCCTTTGTCTTTTCGTTTCACCATCGGCTCGTCTTACATGCCCATTTGGCTCGGTCCTTTGGATCCTTAGCTGGGCTCGGCCGCGATTGTGATGGGAAACGAGTTTATCCCTTTTGGGGATTCCCCAGTGCCCCTCTGAGTTTTTTTCGAGGGGTCTTAACTTTGTTCCGTCATCCGCTCATCTTACCTGCCCATTTGGCCCGGTCCTTTGGATCCTGGGCTGGGCTCGGCCGTGATTGTGATGCGGAACGGGTTTATCTCCTTTGGAGATTCCCCATTTCTTCGTCCCGTTATCCGCTCATCTTACCTGCCCATTTGGCCCGATCCTTTGGATCCTGGGCTGGGCTCGGCCGCGATTGTGATGCGGAACGGGTTTATCTCCTTTGGAGATTCCCCATTTCTTCGTTCCTTCATCCGTTCGCTTACCTGCCCTTTTAGCCCGGTCCTTTGGATCCTGAGCTGGGCTCGGCCGCGATTGAGATGAGGAACGGGTTTATCCCCTTTGGGGATTCCCCAGTGCCCCTCTGATTTTTTAGGGGTCTTCGAATTTTTCCATCATTTGCAATGGAGCCAAAGATACATTATTTTTTGGCTTGAGATTATGATGGAATAAAGCAAAATGGCTCACTAAACTGTCTGCGCTTCTTTGTTATGGAGCAGCAGTCACTCCATGCAATCTTGGACGCGATTTTCACTATGGGTCATCCGGAAACAATCTCTTTGTGCTTTAGTACAGGGGTAAGACTGCGTACATCCGACCCCCCCCCCCCTTACCCCACCGTAGGTGGGAGCCTTTGCGGCACTCGGGTAAATGAAAATGATGAAAAATGATGAGGGGTCTTCGAATATGGTGATGGCACCGTACCCGGAGGTCGGTGGCCATGAAATGATGTCGGCACTCGGGGCCGATTTGAAATAATCAATCAACGGTCCTCATCCGCGAGGAGCGGGGACGAGGCCGGTCTTCAAATATGATGATGGCACCGTACCAGGGGTCGGTGGCCATATAATGATGTCGGCGCTGGGAGCCGATCTGAAAGAATCAATCAACGGTCCTCATCCGCGAGGAGCGAGGGCGAGGCCGGTCTTCAAATATGATTATGGCACCGTATCAGGCGGTCGGTGGCCATATAATGATGTCGGCGCTGGGAGCCGATCTGAAAGGATCAATCAACCGTCCTCATCCGCGAGGAGCGGGGACGAGGCCGGTCTTCAAATATCATGATGACACCGTACTAGGGGGTCGGTGGTCATGTAATGATATCGGCGCTGGGAGCCGATCTGGAATAATCAAACAACGGTCCTCATCCGCGAGGTGCGGGGACGAGGCCAGTCTTCAAATATGATGATGGCATCGTACCAGGGGGTCGGTGGCCATGTAATGATGTCGGCGGTGGGAGCCGATCTGAAATAATCAACGGTCCTCATCTGTGAGGAGCGGGGACGAGGTCGGTCTTCAAATATGATGATGGCACCGTACCAGGGGGTCGGTGGCCATATGATGATGTCGGCACAGGGAGCTGATCCGAAATAATCAATCAACGGTCCTTATCCGCGAGGAGCGGGGACAAGGCCGGTCTTCAAATGTGATGATGGCACCGTACCAGGGGGTCGGTGGGCATGTAATGATGTCGGCGCTAGGAGCCGATCTGAAATAATCAATCAACAGTCTTATCCGCGAGGAGCGGGGACAAGTTCGGTCTTCAAATGTGATGATGGCACCGTACCAGGGGGTCAGTGGCCATGTGATGATGTCGGCACTGGGGTGCAATTCGAAATAATCAATCAATGGTCCTTATCCGCGAGGAGCAGGGACAAGGCCGGTCTTCAAATGTGATGATGGCACTGTACCAGGGGGTCGGTGGCCATGTAATGATGTCGGCGCTGGGAGCAGATCTGAAATAATCAATCAACGATCCTTATCCGCGAGGAGCGGGGACAAGGCCGGTCTTCAAATGTGATGATGGCACCGTACCAGGGGGTCGGTGGCCATGTGATGATGTCGGCACTGGGGCCCGATCCGAAATAATCAATTAACGGTCCTTATCCGTGAGGAGCGAGGACAAGGCCGGTCTTCAAATGTGATGATGGCACCGTACCAGGGGGTTGGTGGCCATGTAATGATGTCGGCGATGGGAGACGATCTGAAATAATCAATCAACAGTCCTTATCCGCGAGAAGCGGGGACAAGGCCGGTCTTCAAATGTGATGATGGCACCGTACCAGGGGGTCGGTGGCCATGTAATGATGTCAGCGCTGGGGGCCGATTTCTGAGCTGGAGGGAATCTTTGTTTCGCCGTCCACTCGTCTTACCTGCCCTAGTTCGGACCATTGGATCCTGAGCTGAGCTCGGCCGCGATTGTGACGGGAAATGGGTTTATCCCATTTGGGGATTCCCCGGTGCCCCCCTAATATTTTTTTGAGGGGTCTTTGAATATGCTGATGGCACCGTACCAGGGGGTCGGTGGCCATGCGAGGGGATCGGCCTAAGGGCCGATCAGAAAGAAACCAGCAACGATCCTCTTCCGTGAGGAGCGGGGCGAGGCCGATCTTCAGATATGGAAAGCATGCCGAGCCGAGAGGCCGGTCGTGATATACGTACGCCGGCCATGAGGACCGATCAAGTGTATCCATGCAACGACTCTCATTCGCGTAGTGCGGGGATGATGCCAGTCTTCAAGGTGTAAATGCACCGTTCCGTGAGGTCGGTCGTGATGTAAGGATGGTCTCATGGCCTTCGGCCGCGATGGTCTCCTCTAGGCCATCGGCTCATGGGGGTGGAGATGCTCGTATCGCGGCTCTCAGCCGTGACGGTTTCCTCCTGGCCCTCGGCCTCTGGGGTAGAGATGTTCGTCTTACGGTCATTGTCCGCGATGGTCTCCTCCTGGCCCTCGGCCTCTTGGGGAAGTATGAAGGTCTCGTGGCCCTTTTCTTTAGCCGGTTTGGAACGTCTTCAGTACTCATGCCGAGCGTCATTTAATCTTCTGCTCGGGCGCATTGAGCGGCCTCAGCTGCATGATAAGCAAGGTAACGAGCCGCACGGCCCGACAATATATATATATATATATATATATATATATATATATATATATATATATATATATATATATATATATATATATATATATATAATTGTAACCATCCACATGGTTTTCTTTTTTCAACACTCGCGATTGCCGGCCTATGGGTTATTGTGACCCTCGGCCCGGCTCATCGTGCGGGGTTATGACCGTCCGGGGCGGGGCCACTTAGTGGCTTGCCGAACGTCGCATAGAAAAATTATTGGTCCGCGAGTTTGAAAACTCAGACCCACGTTGCCGCTCTGCCCTCGAAAAAATGAGGTTGAGCATCTTTGGTGCCCTCGGGCCCCATAGGCCGCGTTTGGCAACAGTCACTTCGCGCCTGGTGGCGCAGATGGTGCTAAGGTACGATCGTCGCTCGGGCCATTGGTGCCGTGCGGACTAATGCGTATCCCCCAAATTAAAACGCGTCATCGGGGCAGAGCCCTCTGGAGACGCTCGGATCGCTATTTAAAGCCAGTCAAGAGTGGGCTGACGGGTCCATTAAATACAACCATTATACTGATTGATGATGGGATAGACTATCCCGAGAGCTTCGCTTGGCATTATTTAACTTTGGGATTTTTTAATCCCTAATAAATAACGTTGACATAACAGGTAATAGTAATGATACTATTCTACTACAGACCACTCAAGTACGCTCCGATCGTGTATTAAAGCCGGTCGAAGTGGGCCCACAAGGCCACCAAAACAGTCATTTAATTAAAACGACGGTGAACATTTTTACTAGAGCTTTGCTCGGTCATTATTTAGTTCAGGATATTTTAATCCCTATTAAATAATGGTGATAAAAATACTAACAACAATACTATTGTAAATTAATTAAAGTGTGGGAACGATGTTACTTAGGTTCAACCATTCTTGATGTACACACCTTATACACATCATATTTGTGATTTTTATTTTGTCTGTGAATCCGGTTCACAGACAATATTTTGTTTGTGCAAAACATTGTCTGTGGATCGATGTTCACAGACAAAAAAAAGTTTTCACAGACATAGATGTGTACAAAAATGTGTATAAGAATGTGTACAAACATCATTTTTGTTTAAATGAATTGACTCATTACACATCAATTACATTAATTAATAGTGAAAGGGCAAAATCTCACGAACTAGCTCCAGCAAGGCTCGAAATCGATGAGCACACTTTCCCGTAACTGAATGAACTATTAACTTGAGACACTTGTACAACTACTGCTTTCTGAGTTTCACTGAGGGAGTAAATAAAACGAGATAAGTTATCCATGATCCACTCTCCTATACCTAAAATACAAAATCAGACAACCCCATCTTCCGTTGGATTTGATTCACATTGAATGAGTTGAGGTCGGAATCCATCGAGCTGAATACAAAAAGTGGCTATACGTCCTCGAAGATGGCAGTTTCAGAGGAGGAATCTTCCTCTTCGTCGGCGTCTGCGAGTACCTGCAGGTCCCGATCAGCAGCCATGAACGGTGGATGTTATTTGGCGAAGACGGTGCTAAGAGGAAGCGTTGTTCTCCAAGTCGTCTATGGCCACATCCGCTTTTCTTCTTCCAACGACGTAGTTTTCGGCAAGGTCTCTGTGTTTTCCATGAGTGGGGTTATTAATTTTCATATCCTTCATTTATGCTTTTAGAGAGCGTTTGGTGAGATGTTTGGTAAGCTGCTTAATCAGTGCATATTTTACGTCTTAGTGGTTGTAGTAGGAGAGTGGTAAAATGCTTTAGCAATTACTGCAATTACTTCGGGTGCAATTTAGGATGCTTTTAATTGGATTAAAATATTCAGATTTGGTCTCTTTAAGTCAGGTCTTATCCAGTAGATGCCTGTATTCCGTGTAATTTAAAGCTGTAGAAGTTTGGTTTGAGATGGAAACCGGTCCTATTAAAAACATCTTTAAACTATATTTTTATATTACACTGTTTCCTTAACTTTGACCACAAAATGATTGGGTGCAAAGTTTTAATGTTCAAATTACCAAATGAGCCCAGTTTAAAATTACAAAATGCCAGTGCTTTGTTGTTTAATTATATGGGCGAGCCCAAACCCTGCACGCATTAAAACATGCATGAGGGATGATGAAAAACTTGAGTTGTGAAACCTGAGGTGACCCTGCAGCATATCAGTAGATATTGCTTTCTCATGAAACACACTGACTTTTGAATTTTCCATAATGAAGAATGAACATATAGTAATTATAAAGTTACGTGTATCACAGTTCATAATGAAGGAGAGCCTCGGCGCTCCGGTTAAGATGTTACTGTGTGACCATGAGGTCACATGTCCAAGTCTTGGAACCGGCCTCTTGTCAAAGTTTGACAGGGGAAAGCTTGCCCCTCATACACCCTTATGGTGGGATCCATCCCCGGACACTCGCCGTGTGGGAATGCCTTCATGCACTGGGCTGCCCTTTTTTTAATCACCATTTGGATGACAAAAACAGAGACATCTTTGATGCTTGTGATTAACAGTGTTTGGGCATTAATTGACATCACAAGAAAAGTGTTCTTGCAGACCCTTCCTTTTATATGTTATATTTGAACATTTTGCATTCGGGCTGCCTAGCCAAGAAGACAAATAATACTGAAGAGCAAGACCATGAAAAAGTGCTTAAGGGGCCTTTGGAATACAACAAAAGAGTGTATTGGCATGTCTGAACCTAGTTGTGACGTGATAGAGACCTCACCAGTACAGAACACTTCAATTATACAGAGAAATTACAGAGAACTATATCAAGAATCAACTGCAAACTTTATTAGAGATGAATAAGAACAATGGAAGAAGCCCCCAATGAGCCGAAGCCCCCCAAAAGAGAGAGAGAATCTCAATCTTCCTAAGTCCCAAGACTAAGTCTAAAACAGCCTACTCCTTTCTCTCATCTTTATTCTATTTATAGTATTACAGACTAACGGAAGGTAGTTATTAGCTCAAACAGAAATATAACTACAACTAACTCTTCTATTTATTAGTCTAATACTCTAATAGGTCGATCCCTATCAATACTCCGCCCCTAAACATCCACCTTGCCCTCAAGGTGGGCGATAGGGAACAACCAAGATCTTCCGCTTCCTTTTCATTCTGGCGCTTCTACCTTCCCAATATTTCACTGGTTTCTGAGCAAAGAGCTTCAGTATTAGATCTTTACAACTCACTGATGTTTCTGCAGCATAGAATGTTTTTGGTGAAGTATCTTTTTCTTCCTTAGTCTTCAAGCTCTCGATAGCCACCAATATTTTCATGCTCTCCTGAGGTATATCCCTTATAAACATGGCAGAATTTATATTCATGTCCTGAACATCAGGATTCTCATCCCTTTTAACCTGCTCATCAGAAATTTTTGAATTACAAATTTCTTCAACTCCATTTGACTCTTCTCCCTTTGAATTATGCTTTACTGTCATGATGCTTTTCAGTAAAACACTGTCATCCACTGCTGCACTTTGAGTACACCCAACATCATTCTACCAATCAACTCCAATAGAAATACTCCACCAAAATGTCTCTGCCACTGCATGTTCCACAAAAGGAGAATCCATTTTTACCTGATTTTTTTAAACAGAGAGTGGAAGAACCCAAGCTATCTTCAAAATGGCCCAATCTTTGCTATTATGAAGCAACATAGAAACCCAGCAACACTTTGTGGATGAGAATACAAATTCAGCTCCTTCATTACCAAGTATATCAGCCATAATTCTGTGGTTCCATCGTTGCCTATCCAATGAAGGAAGTCCGCTTTGTCTAAAAGAAATACAATCCTTGCTGTTGTTATTCAGGTTGGAGAAATCATGAAGCCTAGAATCCAAATTGAGGTAGCAACATTCTTTACGAGTTTTCCAAACAAAAACTTGTATAAAGAGAAAAGAATAACCGTTCATTTTCCTTGGTATTCGTCTGACCATAGCTGAAAGGAACAGGACAATACTCTTATACTCTTTGCAAGGCTTTAGCTTCTGCTCCTCTAGCTTATCACAACATCCTTCATCAAGGGAAATCACTTCCTCTAATTTACGGGCTTCTTCATGAAATATTGGTTTAACCTTCACTAACCACTCAATGGCAGGGTTACAAGTATCAATCCTTCTCAGGTAAATACCTCGAGATATATGGATTGACTTCCCAGTTTGGTTTAACTTGACTTGAAGATATTCATCAATTTGATGGTCACGTTTAATCGACCACATCATCTTGGTTTCCCATTCTGAATTAATTGTTGTTGGTGGAGTCCCTGGGAATCCCTCTTCTAATGTGGCTACGTCAGTTTTTGGAAGCAGATGAATCTGGCGCAGGTTGATAGACGACAAGCGAGGGTGAGCTGTGAGATCCGGCGGTTGAAGAAACCTGTGAACTAGGGACTTCTGCTCGCGTGGAAGCCAGAAGACCAGAAGACGTTGGTGACTGCAACGAACCTTTGTGTTAAGAACCCGCGTTAATGATCTCGTCCAGGGACGAGAGTGTTTCTGTAATTCAGAGGGAAGGTAATTGACTGGGAAGGAATCTATGACTTCTGAAGAATTGAAATCTTAAGCAGGAATTAAATTGATGTCTGACCTAGTCAAGTCACAAAATTAATTCTTCCAAAAGTTCCTTTATTGATAATAATAATGACCCTTATATAGAGGCTGATACAAGAGTCCTAAGGCAATTAATACTTAGGCAGTTGCCTAAAACTAAAATAGGAATACTAGAATAATTAGTCAGTTGCCTAAAACTGAAATAGGAATAATAGTATAAATAGGAAGTTGCCTAAAACCGAAATAGGAATAATAGTAATAACTAAATAATAGTTTTCTTTCAGCCACTTTGTTTCTCGAGTATGAATCTGCAACGTTCTGGGCTCGTTCTTGGCCCTGTCGCCTGCTGTATTGTTTGCCCCAGAATGCATCCGTAACAATACCCCCTCATTGACTTCGAGCTTGTCCGCAAGCTCAAACCTTGGAAATGCAGCAGTAAAGGACTCCAAGGTCTCCCATGTGGCTTCCTCGGCCAACTGTCCCATCCAGTGAACAAGTACCTCTGGCACATCCCTATTAAGGCGTCTTCGAAGTCTGGCTAGTGGTTGCAAGGTTGTTGGTTGTTCTAGTAAAGGAGACAGAGGTCCCATTTGCTCAGGGGAAGGACCGTGATGCTTCTTTAAGAGAGAAACATGAAAGACGTTATGAATTTTACTTGTCTCGGGTAAAGAAAGCTGATAAGCGGCCTTGCTGATGCGAGCAGCCACTTGGAATGGACCATAGAATTTGAGAAGTAGTTTATGGTGACGAGAACCCATGGAGAGTTGTCGGTAAGGATGAACCCGCAGCCAAACCCAATCATTGGGTTCAAAGGTAACCTCCCTGTGATTTTTGTCATATTGAGATTTCATACGAGCTTGGGCAATGGTCAAATGACGTCGAGCTGAAGATAAAAAAGCATCACGGTTGATTAACTCTTGTTCCACTCCCTCCAATTTTGTTGTTCCTGGAGTATAAGAGATTAACTTCGGTGGATCTCTCCCATAGACGAGACGAAATGGAGTATCTCCTAAACTGGAGTGAAAGGAAGTGTTATAGCAGAATTCTGCCCAAGGTAACCAGCGAACCCACTCCCTGGGCAGTCACTTGTGAGACAGCGTAAAAAAGTTTCCAGTGTGCGATTAACTACCTCCGTTTGGCCATCCGTCTGGGGATGATAAGCTGAAGAAAAAGTCAGTTTAGTGCCACTCAAACGGAAAAGTTCTCGCCAAAATTGACTAACGAAAACTTTGTCACGATCAGACACAATAATTCAGGGAGTCCATGCAACCGAAAAATTTCAGAAAAGAAGACACTGGCCACTAAAACAGCCGTGTATGGATGAGCCAGTGGTATAAAGTGGGCAGCTTTTGTGAGACGATCCACAACCACAAAAATGATTGTTTTGCCCCGAACTTTTGGCAGCCCCTCAATGAAGTCCATGGAAATGTCAGCCCAAACTTGTTGTGGAATGGGTAACGGTTGAAGCAACCCTGCTGGTTGTAATGTTAACCATTTATGGCGTTGGGCCAATAGAATTCTTGGCGCAATCGTTGTAGTGTCTTTTCCACACCTTCACGGGCCATCTCATGAAACACCATAATCAACGTGGGAATGAGGGATGAGGTAGAATGGAGAAAAATCTTATGGCGGAAGTAGAGAAAGCCATCACGATATGCCCAGTCATCGTCGAGGACCCCAGCCGTCAACTGTTCACATAAAGCCTTGATTTCAAGTGACGTGGCATGTTCGAGGCGTATGTCCTCCATGATAGTTGTATATGGAATGGAGACGGCTGCTAACGTTATAGGTTCATCTCGGCGAGACAGTGCATCTGCAACCACATTTAAGCGTCATGGTTTGTACTCGATCCGGAAAGTGAAACCCATAAGCTTGCTTAGCTAGTGTTGTTGTGGTGATGTAGTGAGGCGTTGTTCTAACAGATATTTAAGACTCGAATAATCAGTCTTAATTAGAAACTCTCTGCCCCAAAGATAGGGCCGCCAATGGGTGATTGCCTTCGCCAGACTGATTAGTTCCCGCTCATAAGCCGCAAGTTTCGAATGACGGGCACCAATCTGCCGACTAAAATATGCAATGGGATGACCCTCTTGCTGCAAGACGGCCCCAAATCCCACTCTACAACAAATTCTCTTGTGAAATCTGGAAGTTGCAATACTGGGGCTGAAGACAAACGCTGCTTGAGGTCAGTGAAAGCGGTGGCTGCTGCTGGGGACCAAACAAAGGTATTTTTCTGGAGAAGTTGGGTGAGTGGTCTTGCAATTTCTCCGTATCCTTGTATGAATTTGCGGTAATAGCCCGCAAGACCCAAAAAACCACGCAAGGCAGTTACGGTGCTTGGGGTAGGCCAGTCAAGAACCGCACGAATCTTGGATTTATCAACCTCAACTCCTTGACCATGAATCACATGTCCCAAGTAGTTAACTTGCGGGGATCCAAAACTACACTTGGAATGTTTGAGAAACAATCCGTGAGTGCGTAAAATCTCAAAAACAAGGTGAACGTGATGGACATGCTCAACCCATGACTTACTATAGATCAAGATGTCATCAAAGAAAACTAATACGAATTTGCGCAAGTAAGGCCCAAAGATGTCGTTCATAAGACTCTGGAACGTAGATGGAGCGTTAGATAACCCAAATGGCATCACAAGGAACTCAAAGTGACCATGGTGGGTTCGAAATGCTGTTTTTTCGACATCATTAGGATCCATGCGGATTTGGTGATAACCAGAGCGGAGGTCCAGCTTGGTGAAGAATTTGGCGCCATGGAGTTCATCTAACAGTTCATCAATCACGGGAATAGGGAATTTATCTTTAACAGTCTTGGCATTCAGTTCCCTATAGTCCACACAAAAACACCATGTGTCGTCTGGCTTCTTGACTAATAAAACTTGGGATGAGAATGGAGAGCGGCTATGCTGGATTATCCCCTGTTGTAACATCTCAGAACATTGTTTTTCAATTTCATCCTTCTGGAAATAAGGATATCGGTATGGTCGAACCACCACGGGACCTGAGCCCGGCAATAAAGTAATACGGTGATCATGAGTTCGACGAGGCGGGAGACTGGTGGGTTCTCGAAAGAGGTCACAGAAACTGTTCAGCATTGTATCCAGAGACGGGGTCTCCATCTGCGAGGTAACAACCATGTGGGCATGAATGGAGTGACTTGCTGCCCGTCCACGTCATTCTACTGGATGGCCCTGCCACTGGAAACGCATGGAGAGCTGCTTAAAGTCCCACATGATGGAACCTAAACCACGGAGCCATTGAACACCAAGGATCATATCGAACCCGGCCAGTGGAAGGACATAAACATCTGCTGAGAATTGTCTGCCATTGACTTCAAAAGGGAGATTGGAGCAGGTACCCATTATGGAAACACGGTCACCATTAGCGACAAGTACATGGAGTGCACTGCCAACCTGAGATAGGACCGCCGTGGTTGGAAGTAACCGTTGGTGCAGGAAGTTATGAGTGCTGCCCAAATCTACCAAGATAGTGATGCAACGGTCATAGAGACGTGCTGAAAGTTGCATGGTGGATGAAGATCCGAACCCGGTCATAGCCAAGATAGACAGGGATCGCTCAGCACTGGTTGTATATTCATCTGGCTATAACACAAAAGTCGTTTACAACGGTGACCTGGAATCCACGGATCGTCACAGTTATAACACAAACCTTTTTCCCGGCGTATGGCAGCCTCAGCGCGGGAGATCTTTTTAAACCCCGGTGTGGATTGCCGTCGGTTTAAGGATGGATCAGGCATATTCGGTGTCGGTGGCCGCGTGTACTGTGCAGATGGAACCAAAAGAGTGGAACGAGATTTGGTCTCCGGGTGTTCATACTTGCGGTTCACAATACGGGCCAACATCATTGCCGAATCAAGATCAACTGGATTCTGGTACTCAACCTCCAAGCGCAACGATTCACGTAATCCCGCTGTGAAGATTTTAACTTGCATGCGCACAAAGATGCTAACTGTGCGGGAAAGCAACTGTTGAAACAACTCAATATAAGTTTCGACATCATGTGTTTGGGTGATTTTGGCAAGGTCCCCTTTAGGATTGGCGTCACAGGGCGGTCCAAAGCGTTTAGTACACTTAGTATAGAACTCGGTCCAGGTGATGTCAGTAGCACTGGGATCAAGCTGATCAGCCCAGAGCTGGGCTGTCCCAGTCATTTGAAACGTTGCGAGACCCACACGGGCTTGCGCTGGTGTACGCTGGTGAACAAAGAAACTTTCACAACGTTTAAGCCATGACAAAGGGTCGCTCTTACCGTCATATTGTGGAAAATCAAGCTTGGAAAAATGTGGAACCACCAAGTCATCATGATCCTGCCGTCGGTAGTCTCATTCGTGTTGTCGAGCAAATCGGGGAGATACTGAGGAGGAATCTGCGGTCAGTTTCTGGACAGAGGCGGACAAGGCGGCCATCGCTGCCGGTAATTCTGCCAATTTAGCGACACACTCCTGCAGGTCGGCCAGCTAGTGTTCCACAGTCAGCTGACGTTGCTCCATGCCCTCAATCATGTGTTTCAATGCCTCGGCTCCTGCTGCATCGTTGCCCATCGTCCCGGAATCTGATACCAAATTGTTAAGAACCTGCGTCAATGATCTCGTCCATGGACGAGAGTGTTTCTGTAATTCAGAGGGAAGATAATTGACTGGGAAGGAATCTATGACTTCTGAAGAATTGAAATCTTAAGCAGGAATTAAATTGATGTCCGACCTAGTCAAGACACACAAAATTAATTCTTCCAAAAGTTCCTTTATTGATAATAATAATGACCCTTATATAGAGGCTGATACAAGAGTCCTAAGACAATTAATACTTAGGCAGTTGCCTAAAACTAAAATAGGAATACTAGAATAATTAGTCAGTTGCCTAAAACTGAAATAGGAATAATAGTATAAATAGGAAGTTACCTAAAACTGAAATAGGAATAATAGTAATAACTAATTAATAGTTTTCTTTCAGCCACTTTGTTTCTCGATATAGTTGGGCCCATGGTCCGAGTATGAATCTGCAACGTTCTGGGCTCATTCTTTGCCCTGTTGCCTGCTGTATTGTTTGCCTCAGAATGCATCCGTAACACTTTGCTTTTCGAATTCCTGCAGAGACGCACAGTCCTCGATCTTCCTCGCCGGTGACTTTGCCGCAGCTTGGTGCGCACTTCGTCCAACCCTATCCTCATTTCATTGCTCTTCGCACGCTTCTCCTTCTCCATGTGTGAGCGCTTTTCCTTTTCTAGGGTTGAGTGCTTCTCTTTCTCCACTTTTCCGCGCGAATCCTCTCGCGAGTGCGAAACAGTTTGCGACTCCTTCTGCGACTTGGTGAGCGACGCTATGGACTCTGTTTATCAGAAAGACGATGATGCTTGGTGTTGCTCGATCGCTGGAATCTACGATTTAGACGCTCACAGTCGTGCAAGATACTTTTCAACCTAGCGTTCGTCTCCTTCATCTGTTGGTTCGTCTCCTTCATCTGTTGATTCAGATTGTCAAATCTTTCTTCCATTTGCGATGTCATATAGAATTCCTCCATCGTTCCGATGATTCAGATTTTCCGTCTCCAGGAAGTAACGTGCTCTGATACCACTGATAGAGAGCTCACCAGAGAAATACAGAGAACTATATCAAGAATCAACTGCAAACTTTATTAGAGATGAACACGAACAATGGCCGAAGCCCCCAATGAGCCGAAGCCCCCCAAAAGAGAGGGAATCTCAATCTTCCCAAGTCCCAAGACTAAGTCTAAAACAGCCTACTCCTTTCTCTCATCTTTATTCTATTTATAGTATTACAGACTAACGGAAGGTAGTTATTAGCTCAAACAGAAATATAACTACAACTAACTCTTCTATTTATTAGTCTAATACTCTAATAGGTCGATCCCTATCATGACGTATCCCATTTGGAGAGCTTCCTGGACTGGCGAAGATCGAGGTCTCCCTCAGAGGACCGAATTGAGGGATTGGCAAATGTCACGATGCTTAAGACAATTCATTAGCTTTAGCATGGTGAATGTGAGAAGACGATACAGTAGAATACCATATCGACTGATTGCAGTCCTTGCTTTGAGTGCTAGTTGATCATGTTAGCTTAATGACTGATATATGCTAGGCCTTTTATTCAGGAGACATCTTTAGAGTTGGTGGTCATAGATGATAGCGGAATTGTACAATCAATATGTGAGCAGCCAGTGTTTGGCACTATAAAAGACCTTGCTGTTCTTCCTTGGAGTGATCAGTTTCGTTCTCGAAACTCACAGGTTTCTTAGTTATTTTTCTTTCATTAGTCAGATTTATCTTCTTACATGGGTGGACACCATTCTATTATTTGTTTCTATGTAGGTTCATGGGAAGGATATTCTGGTTGTGATGTCTGATTCGGGGAAGCTATCATTTCTTACATTTTGCAATGAAATGCACAGGTTTTGTTTTTTATGGAAATCGAATACATTTATATTTGGTACTCTATTATATATATATATATATATATATATATATATATAATTCTCTAAGACTATTAAGGTGATACATATAGGTATAAACTCATGTTTTCAAGTTTAGATTTGGATCTTATTATTTCCACCAAGCCTTACTTTTACAGGACTTGATTGTTGATATAGGTTTTTCTCGCTGTCGCACGTTCAACTCTCATGTCATGGAAATTCAATGAATCAAATTGGAAGGATGTTAGCAATTGATTCAAAGTAAGTACCGTCCTTGTCCAAGATGTGTAACCAGTCCAGTCTGTGTAAACAGTAAACACTACCTATCCCTTCTTGTGTTATAACTTGGATTTTATAGGATATTTATTTATGTAGGTCATTACTTTTTTCTATGCAGTGGCTGTTTTATTGCTGCTAGCGCATATAAAGATAGATTAGCTCTTCTCTCTGTTTCAACTTCTGGTGGCAATGATATTATTGAGAAGGTTATGTTTCTAAAATTACTCTTTCTAAGTGCTATCGACCTATCTGAAGTGGGCATAGCTATTTAATGTTACTGATATAGTGCTGCTAAATGGTATTAGAAAATCTGCTGCCCTCCTGACAATCAAGAGAACATCAGGAATGGAAATGGTGTTACTGATATCTGTGGTACCATATGGAGTATGTGCTTTATCTCAAAAGATCTACATCAGGCAAGTAAGGAGCACAACCCTGTGTTAGCAGTTCTTCTGAATAGGTATGATGATCGCCAAATCCATATATGTAAAACTTCTCTATTACTAAAACTGGGTGTCTTTTTTTTGTTTGCCGTAGTATCTTTTTGTTGATAAAGTTTCCCACCATTAATAAAAACTATAAATTATCTGCTTCAGGGAGAGATCGTATAGGAGTGAGCTAATGTTGGTAGAATGGGAAGTTAAGGAGGATTTGCTCCATGTGATATATCAGTATGCGGAACCTGCACCGTTTGCACATCATATAGTTGAAGTTCCGTATTCTTATGGACTAGTGCTTCTGTTCAGGGATGGGGATATCATTCTAATGGATTGCAGGGATGCTTGTAACCCTGATTTGTTATATAGAATAAGTTTAAATTTCTCTCCTTCAGTTGAAGAGCAGAATTTTGTTGAACCTACAATTAGGATTCCAGATATTATTGATGAAGAAGGTATGTATAATGTTGCTGCATCTGCATTATTGGAGCTCAGTGACATAAACAAAAGCGATCCAATGAACATTGATGATGAAAGCATCATCAAACCAGGCGGTAATTATGTAAGTTCATGGAGTTGGGACTCTGCAAATAAAAACAATCCAAGGATAATTTTTTGTGCTGATACCGGGCAAGTTTTTATGATTGAGATATTTTCAGATTGTGATGGAATCAAAATGAATTTATCTGACTGTCTTTACAAAGGTATACCAACCAAGGTGCTATTGTGGATGGAGACTGATTTTATAGCAGCTATAGTTGAGATGGGTGATGGGATGGTTCTAAAATTGGAAGATGGAAGGCTAGTTTACACAAGTCCAATCCAAAACATTGCACCGATATTGGATATGTCGGTTGTGGACTACCATAATGAGAAACAAGATCAAATGTTTGCTTGCTGTGGGATGGCACCTGAAGGATCGTTGCGAATCATTCGAAGTGGCATCAGTGTGGAGAAGTTGTTAAAAACTGCTCCTATTTATCAAGGCATAACTGGCACTTGGACTGTGAAAATGAAAGTCACTGATATCTATCATTCTTTCCTAGTGCTGTCTTTTGTTGAAGAAACCAGAGTTCTTTCAGTTGGGGTAAGCTTTTCTGATGTAACTGATGCTGTGGGTTTCCAGCCTGACGTCTGCACCTTGGCATGTGGTCTGGTAGCTGATGGTATAGTGGTGCAAATACACCAACATGCTGTTAGACTGTGTGTGCCTATTGCATCTGCAAACCCTGAAGGTATCACTGAAGCTTCTTCCCCTGGAACATGGTCGCCTAATGATACTACAATTAGTATGGGAGCAGTTGGGCACAATGTGATAGTTGTGGCAACTTCGAACCCATGCTTTTTATACGTACTTGGTTTCAAATCATTGTCAGCATGTAAATATGAAGTGTACCAATTGCAACAAGTAAGATTGCAGGATGAACTGTCCTGCATTTCAATCCCTCAGAAACAGATTGATCTAAAACCATTTGTGTCTCAAATGAGCAACGCGAACAATGCCCCTATTGTTTCTCTTCAAGCAGAGTTTGACTTCAGTAGTACCTTTATTATTGGTACACACAAGCCTTCTGTGGAAGTTCTATCCTTCTCGTTTGATAAAGGCCTTCAAGTTGTTGCTGTAGGATCAATATCACTAACTAACACTCTAGGAACTACCATAACTGATTGTATTCCTCAAGATGTAAGGCTTATACTTGTTGATCGGCCATATGTTCTTTCAGGATTAAGGAATGGTATGCTACTCAGGTTTGAGTGGGCTTCTACCTCAAATGTTTCTGCTGTACAAACATCTTGCGTGCAGCATTTCACTTGTTCTCAGTTGCCAAGTACTATGACTGCACCACGTACCACATCTGTAAATTACAGGGCCATGCCTACATCTGTTTCGACTTTACTTGATAAGACGAGGGACACTATTTTTGTTCATCTTCAACTAATTGCATATCGTCGTATAGGCATTAATCCAGCTAGCTTGGTTCCTTTAAGTGACTCTCTTGATACGGATGTAATTGCTTTAAGTGATAGGCCTTGGCTATTACAAACTGCAAGACATAGTATTTCCTTCACATCCATCTCCGTTCAGCCTTCCACACATGCCACTCCAGTTTGTTCAATTGAATGTCCCAAGGGTGTTCTATTTGTTGCTGACAATAGCCTAAATTTGGTATTGTTTGTTCTCATTCTATTTACTGTTCAGTGCTAAAAAGACGATGCATCAACACCCAAGTTGAGTGCCTTTAATGTGATGTGCATTAGTTGATTGTGAACTTTGAATGCATGACAAGATTTTGTAGGATGCCCTTTGAATGTCATGCGCATTGGTTTCTTGTAAACATCATTCTAATTGCGACAATGTGAACCATCAATTTTGACAACGGAGGGAAATTAAGGGAAGAGAAGAACTGGTAGAATGACAACGAGTCAGCTTGTGATAATTTGATTTCTCAAAAAGTTTTGGGCTTAAATTGAAAGGAGGAAAACTGGTCTATGAAAGAAGCTCTGTTACCATGTTTAAATGAACATGTGTGGCTAAGTTGTATTTTAACCACCCATAATACTCAGTCGAAGCCATATTTGGAAAAGCAACAGTAATAGAAAATTGTACAGAGTAAATATTGTTGTATCTATTTCTGTGTCACAATACATGAGGAGTCACATATCTAGAGGGATAGAGGTGGACCGAAAGGTCTCGAGTACACCAATTATACAGGGAATACCAAATTTTAGAACATGTAGGTAATACCAAAGCACAAGCATGCACAACCCATGTTTAATGTCAATATTATCTATTACCTTATTTCAATGGTATATGGATTTGCTGCATCCAAAACAAAGTGATGCATGGTATTTTAATATTGAACCTAGTACTACAGAGTACAGACATTTTTTTGGTGTTATGCCCTTAATACTTATTAGCAGTTGCTAGATGAAATTGAGGCTGGTTCCAGTTGCTAGATGAAGCTGAGGTACCAGTTGCTAGATGAAATGTACTAAATTTGATGAAGTGGTTAATTTAATTTAATATATGTTGGATTCGTGAGAAAATTGAAAAACTGTCTGGGTGTGTGCTGTAAATAACTGAACCGCCCGAGTTCTTCTCTGCAGCTATTTAAGCAAATACCAGTTCCTTTTGAATCTTATGTAGATGCATGCTTTATGATTCTGAAGTGTGTCTTGTTAGATTTCCTTTTTCGTAAAGTGCTCTTAGTCATATTTCTTCTTAATGATTTTAATTTTTTGCTTCCCAACCATTCTCCTTTTTGTAAATATTTAACTGTTCAGTGTACAAGTCTTCAAGATAAATGTTTTTGTCTGTCACTTTCTTTCTTGGTAAGATGGAGAGAGACTCCTACCATTTCATTAAAGGTGATTAGATCCTAATAGTTTGTTTGTGCTGTCTCTCTGTTGATCCTGGTTTGACAGAACACTTGTCCTCACTATGTTATAGGTGGAGATGGTGTCCACTAAACGGCTTAATGTGCAGAAGTTTCACGTGGAAGGAACTCCACGCAAGGTTTTATATCATAGTGAAAGCAAGCTATTGGTAGTTTTGAGGACCGATCTCAATGACAATTCATCCTCAGATGTCTGCTGTATAGATCCTCTTAGTGGACAAGTGCTATCCTCATTTAAATTTGACTCAGGGGAGACTGGTAAATGCATGGAGTTGGTTAAGTCTGGAAATGATCAGGTTTTAGTGGTTGGAACTAGCCGCTCATCTGGTCCTGCAATAATGCCTAGTGGTGAAGCTGAGAGGTGCATTATTATCTCCTTAAGTCGTTATGGGTTTATGCCAGAACTTTAGCATTATTTTTTAGATCTATTCCTTCTATTGTTTTGCTTCAATTTTATGCTCTCTTTTATATAATTATGCCCCATGCATCCCAAATTCATCTTGTTTTCCTTTTCTGTCCCTCAGTCCGTCCCATAAGAATCTTTATTTTCTAAGGAAAGAATTGTGTAGTGCATGTTGTTTCTTTTCTTTTTAAATAAGTCTCAGCGATACAATTTCACACAATTCAAAACAGGAAAGATCAATTTGGGACAGATGGATTATAAATATAGGCACAACTGAGAAGTACATTAGCCCTGTTTTCTTTTCTTTTTTCTCATAATTCCTTTTTAACAGTGCTAGGGGTCGTTTAATAGTCCTCTGCCTTGAACATAGCCATACTTCAGATAGTGGTTCCATGGCATTTTCTTCAAGGGCTGGATCATCTTCTCAGCGAACTTCACCTTTCTGTGAAATTGGGGGATATGCTGCAGAACAGCTGTCTGGAAGCAGCCTATGTAGCAGCCCTGATGATAACAGCTGTGATGGGATTAGATTTATAGAAAACGAGCCATGGCACTTGCGTTTAACGTATTCAAACATCTGGCCTGGAGTGGTTCTTGCTATCTGCCCTTACCTTGATCGTAATTTCTTGGCTTCAGCTGGTAATTCTGTAAGTAGTAAAAAACAATTTTTCCTTGGTATGATAAGCTTCCCTGGATATCCCAATCTGGCACTTCTAATATACTGTGCTCGTTTTTGTCAGTTTTATGTTTGCGGCTTCTCCAGTGATACTTCTCAAAGGGTGAGGCGACTTGCATCAGCAAAAACACGGTTCATGATCATGACTTTATCATCGCATTCAACCAGGATTGCTGTTGGTGATTGTAGAGACGGTATCCTATTCTACTCATATCGAGAGGTACTTTTTATCTTCCTGGAAGATTTTATTACTTTCTCAAGTTTCTATGTGTACTGTGTAGCTGGATATCTTCATATCGTAAATGCATTAATTAAACTTCATTCTGCGGCTCCACCCAGGATACAAGAAAACTGGAGCAGCTTTACTGTGACCCTTTCCAGCGCTTAGTTGCTGATTGCATTCTTATGGATACTGATACTGCTGCTGTTTCTGATCGGAAGGGGGGCATTGCCATTTTGTCATGCTCAGATCATTCAGTAGGTAAGCTTATATATCTTCTTTCTCATACTTGGAGCTTGATTTTGCTACAGTTGAAGGGTTGGTGTTTTTGGTCTATGCTATTGGTTTGATGTTTTCCTTCCATGGTTGTTAAATTAAATGCAACCCCTCGATTACCTCAGACATGGATAGTGTAATCATAATATTGTGTGGCTTTAAAATATATTTTTCTTTTTGGCCTAACTAAATTTCTTATATTTATTTCATCCTTTAGCACCATGTTTGGAAATAAAAATTGTGGGAGGAAAGAAAATGTGAGAGGAACAGAATGATTGTGATTTTGTCTTGTTTTGGAGGAGAAGAGATAATTGAGAAGCAAAGGAGTGCTATTTTTCTCTGCTCTCTTGTCAATTTGTTGAGAAAATATGAAAGTTAGGTATATAGTTTGCCATTCATAACAAATAGGACTAAATTATCTCAATCTAGTTCTTTGCCTATCCTTTTGTCTCCCTCCCATAAGAGTGAAATACTAAGAATGACACGTGTAGCCTTTTATGTAAGTGTTAATAAAAATATTTATTTTTATTTATGAACACTATTTTAATAATGCTGGGGCCTGGGGGAATGACATACTGGCAGTGGCAGCGTCACTAGCAATGACATACTAAAATATCATACATTATCTTGTTTTTGGAATATATAAAATTTAGTCAGCATTTTGTCCAGTCCACGAGTATTATTTTAGGAATAGTGGAAGAAAACCCTTCTCCCTCTGTTTTCTTCCATTTCAATCACATGAGAGCAAATAAAGGAAGAAAACCCATTGATTTTCTTTCTATTTTTTCATCAAGAGAGGAAATTTCCCATACGTAATGTCAGTTTCTAGTGACTCTTCTTCACTTTGTTTAAAGTCTTTGCCTATTGTTTCTTCTTGATACATGATATTAATGGAATTTGCCATTTAGATTTGTTTCTAACAGTGGTTAAGATTTGCAGATAATTCCAGCCCTGAATGCAATTTAGCTGTATTTTCATCATTTTACATAGGTGAAGTTGCTATGCGGATCCGAAAAGTAAGATTCTTTAGACACCTTAAAAATGAGATTGACATGAATTCCTGTCATTTGGTCCAAATTATACACCTGTCCCCAAATTTTCTTCCCACTTTGACTTGTCACGCTTATTAAGAAAGTGAAAATGTATGGTTGCATTTAATGTAGAAAAAGGGAGATTAATGTTAACCACACAAACCATTCCTTAAAAGGAGATGGGAAGGAAATTTTAGGACATCTCAATTCCCAAAAAAGAAAGTGGGAAGAAAATTATGGGATGAATGATGATGGAAGTACTTGTTTTGTGAATCATGTTTTTCATGTCTAAACGGTCCATTTTGACGCCCCTTTGTCATCACTATGATGGTCAAACCCTAATCTTGACATCTTGCCACTCATGGCTCTAAGTTTTTGGAAATATCCAGTGTAAGCCCCCTACTATTGACTGTGAAAATATGCTGTGTTCTACTAGACAAAGACGCCTTAATATCCAATTATCATGACCTCAAGTAGACATCCCTATGGATGTAGGTGGCAGGGCTAATCCAACCATATGCGGTTCAGTTGTAGATATACTACCTCCGTCCCACTAACATTGGGACATGAGTAGGTGGTGCGGTTATTAAGAAAATTGAGTTTATGTGTTTGATATTGAATTCATAGAGTAAGAATAAAGTAAGAATGACTTAGAACTGCACAAACTTTACCATATTTGGTATGAGACAAACTTCGTGAGACAGATCGAAATGGAAAGAGGGACAATTTTAGCGGGACAAAGGGAGTAACATTTAGGACATGTTTACTTTATTGCTAAAAACATAATTAGCTTAGTAGGGCAAGTGAAGTAAATACCCACTACTTACAAACCCAAACAAGTGCTTAAAGTGCCGCTTATTAAGCACACCACCCTCTCTATTAATTAAGCAACCGTTTAAGTTTTTCAATTTTCGCATTTACCCTTACACCTTATACATATATTATACTCCCTCCATCCCAAAATCTTTGGGCAATGTTGACCGACACTACAAATAAGGAAAAACAGTAAAAGTACAACATTGCCACATTGAACAGTCTAAATCGTTGGGCAATGTTGGACAAAAGTGCCCCTTAAAATGACGGAACCGAAATGTCCACAGAACCAACATTGAACAGTCTAAATGAACAGTACAACTAGATGTAGCTCATCCAAGAGGCAGATCTGGAGACGAAATCAGGCCGAAATTCATCTTCGTGACGATCCTTGTTCGCCGCTAGTTCCGCCGTATCTGGTCCTCCTTCACGGAGGTTTTCAACTTCCAGGATCCCATCTCTGTCCTCCAAGACCGATGCTTGTATCAATAGGCTTTCATGGACGATGGAGACGAAGGGATCTGAGTGAGCAACCTCCTCCGATTCTGATTGAGTGAGCCAACCTCCTCCGATTCTGATGACGTCTCAAGATCCTTGGAAAGGAAATGGTCCGGCGAGGCGGTTGTTTATGATTTTGATTCCATGGAAATATTCTCTGATTTTGATTTCATCTCATTACGGTTCATGAAAAATTTCAGAGGGAAAGGGTTTCAGGTGAGGCGAAAAAGAACAATAAGAGAGAAATAGGCCTGGCGAGAGAGATCGAGAGGAGGATGAGTTTGAGTGCCGGGTGGGAATAAGTGGGTGAAGTGTAAACATGTATTTTCCATTTCATGTGTTAGCCTAAAATAGAAAGTGGCAAACCTTTTTGGGACAACCAAAAAAGGAAAATTGGTCAATCTTTCTGGGACGGAGTGTGTGTGTGTGTGTGTGTGTGTATATATATATATATATATATATATCATACTTGTCACGGTGGTAAGGCGAGTCGCGGCGCCAGCCGACTGCCATATCGCCTAGGCGACAAGGCGCCCGCCTAGGCGACAATTAGGCAACTAGTCGCACATTATATAAATTTATAATACTACGGAAATTATATATAATTACACACATAATTATATATATATATAACTCTATATACAGAGTATAATATTTTATTTAACTATATTTAATTTATAACTTATTATATATCATAACTGCTTCTTATTTTACTGTATTATTCAAATCAATCTAAATATATAAATATTGTAATACTAATAAACTGCAATAAAAAATATGTTTATGAAACACAACAAAGAAGAACATATGTATTTATAAAAAGATATGCTATATATATTAATTTATACAAAAATATGTAGTATAAGATTTACTGTGTCCCACTTGGCCACTCCCCACTCCTAAAAAGCATAGACTTGTCCACTTGCAGTATTAGATACGGTAGTAAGGTACATTAGAATAAACAAAAAGAAGAAGCAACTAAAGATAAAAAAACTCAGCGAATTAACCCATAGTACCTGGGAGCTCTTTCTGCGAGCTCGACTTCTTTCCGCGAAGTACCAGGTGGACTACGAAGTACCCTGAAACGTTGGATGCTCGACTTCTTTCCGCGAGGTTGAGGCTGGAGTTGTATGGGACGATCGAGTTTACGAATGGTCAAGTAAGATTTGGGCTTTATTTCGTAACTCCTAATTTTATTTCCAAAATCTAAATCTTGGCCTTCGGATTACTATTCTACGACTTCTTGTTTGGTGAACGCCTTGTCGCCAAACCGATGACAAGACGATGAGAGGAGGAAACCATGGTCGCTTATTCTTCTTCTGGCGAAGCGATGGCTCTTGGCGACCTCTTCCCGTGCAAAGTGCAAAGTTTTCACTTTTTCATGTTTCGCTTGCACTTTTTCTTGTTTGCATTGCACATTTTGGCCATTTTGTTTTTGGCCAAATTCATCCAAAATGACGGTGGCAGTTTTGTAAATAAACCAAATTTTTTGAGCTACCGCGAAAAAGTGCAACGAAATCAAGAAAAAGTGCAAGCGAAACATGAAAAAGTGCAAATTTTGCACTTTGCACGTTAAGACCACTTTTTATTTGAACCATCCCATATATATATACCCACACATACATATATATACATACATATATATACATACATATATATACATACATATATATACATATACATACATATATATACATATACATACATATATATACATATACATACAAGAGTCCTATTCGTGTCCAGCCGGCCTGACGGGAATCGCAGTCTGGCCGAGGGCATTTTGGGCCCTTCCCGGTGGAATTTTTTGATGATTTTTTTTAGAATGTTCTTAATCAAGTCTAGTTTATCAATGGTCTAGATTAGAAGTTCTCATTTTAAAGGGATTCTCATTAGAACCCTCCCATATATATACACACACATGCATATACAGAATATTATCTATAATATTATATATACAATATTATGTATATATGTATACATACACATGCAAAGTGGAGGGCGCACATCTGTGGGAACGATTGATGTCTTTTCTACCTTTCCCCTCGTTTTCTTGTATCGTTTATCTTCTTTATCTTTTTATGATCTTATGTTATTTTTATCTTCTAGCTTTTTATGCTCATTTATCTTTTTAATATACTCCCTCCGTCCTATAAAATTCTTCCCACTTTCCTTTTTGGGACGGAGGGAAGTATATCTTATTAATACCGGGTTATTTTTATGTTGTCTACAACAGCTGCCACCTTCTTTCCTGTTGCTCAGCCTTATCAACCCAGATCAGTTCTTCTCCGTTAAACGAGGGCAACATCGTGAGAAAGGTGCTGCACAGTCCAATTTTGAACGAGGATGTTGCTGCCGCGTCAAGTGAAGTCACCGTCGTTGAATGCTCCTCCACCGCTGGCGGCGCAAGAGCCTCTGTAGACGTAGCCAAGGAGGAAGTGACGCTGCATGGCTGTCTGTCGCTGCTGTGCGCAGATACGGTGGGGCTGTCAACCGCGTCCAGGCTTGTTTCCGTCATGACTGGAGGAATTAGCGCCTTGGTAAGCGCTGCCAGGGATGCGGCAATCTCTGCCGGACGCATGCCGTGCTCCTCTAGGGTTTGATTCATCCGAGTTTGCTTGGCGACCATCTCTGCCCAGCGGTCGATCTGAGATCTCATCATCCTGGCGGGACGGGATCCGGCATGTCGGACCAATTGTTGGGTAACAGAAAAATAAAATCAACAGGGTAAACCGTTCCCCAGATAATCAACAATAAAAATACCGTTGCCCAGAGCCAAAAGGCTAAAACCAATTTTATTCCAAGATAATAAGAATGAACCCTGGCGAGGGGTATAAATAGCCTTCTACAAGAAACCCTAATCAAGCCCAAATTAAATAAATCCTAATTAGGCCCATAATAACTCTACTAAGTACTATACTAATAATAGGCCCAAAGTAAAACATAACATTAACTTAATAATAATAAATAAACTCTAATGACAACCCTAACCCGGCCCACGGAAGTGGGACCAAACCCGGTCCCGCCCCATGCTCTTCCCGCTCTCTATCAGTTAGCCGACCCCAAATTCTTTTGGGATTAAGGCTTGGATGTTGTTGTGATGTATATATAAACGTCTATATATACGTATAACTTGTTATGTTGTGTTATGTTATGTTATGTTATGTACTTATGTTATGTTATGTTATGTTATGTTATGTTATGTTATGTTATGTTATGTTATGTTATGTTATGTTATGGAGAAAAATAATCACTGGATAATTGTGAAAAGAGAAAGAAAGAAAAATAAGATACAAGTTGAAAAACCCGCAGCGGGATAAAAAAAGAATCACAGATGCATTGTGTAAAATCTAGGGAAAGAAATTGAGAAAGAATCATTATCGACATTCTTAGCCTCAAAATAGTGCATTATTTAAAAAATGCCATTGGCTGTGCCAGGAGGATGGCGCAGTTGGTTGTATGATATATATTGCAAGTTTTGATAGCTTGATCAGCTATTTTCAGCATCAGCTGCAAGGCAATTCCTTCTAGGGAGCCTGGTTTACACTGAATTCGGCTAAACTGCTAAACACAAAGTCCAACCCAGTTTTATCTTTAAAATTCAATTCTAAGGTACCTAATGTTTTCATAGATAATACACACATTTGTATTTGAGTCATCTATATATCAATTATAAACCCTTCCAAATCAAAGCTTCTTTGCTGTTTCTTCATCTCATTCAAAGATCGCGGTGTTTGATATTAGACTGGTTCTCCTGTATTATTATCTGTAGACAACATTTTAATCAAGTACCTTTCTTCTCCCCAGTGGGAACTGAGAACAAAGGGAATGTGGATTTCTGCTTCTGCTAATCTGCTTTTCACTCATCCTCTGGTAGATTTCTGTTTCCAGTGCATTGTTTTGAATCCAGCCATTGGCTTATATTTCTAGCTTCCTTTACCTATTGCAGCTGAGAGATATCTGCACGTGTGGATTTTTGTTATTCTGCTAGCAATAAATAGTAGGATTCGACCCTGATAACTTTTTTAAACTGAAGGCACACACCAAAAGAATAGGGAGAAGATCAGCTAAAAGTTATCACAAGGGTGTTGAATATGGTGGTGAAAGAAGGGTGTTCAAATTTGGAAATTAGCTAGCAGTCCTGACGAATTCAGTCACTCGGTCCGTAAAGCTTAGTAATTCGACATTGGAAAACTTTTAATGCCTTAAATCCTTTAATCAGGATACATCTTAGCCATTAAAACTAATTAAACAATGAATCAGTAAGCTTTCCTAGCCAAGCCATCAGGAAGGTCTGATAGTAATGTTCTCCTTGTAGTTTTTCCTCAAATATATTGCTATGGGTTTATTGAAGTTTGACTGGTGCTCATGCACTTCACATATGAGTCAAGGAAGTTCCACTCGTGCAGGGTCCATTCTCCTACAAACTTCCAGCAGATGATATTTTGAGGGGATGTCAAGATACTGACAATGTTGGTAACATGTCACATAGCAGCATTATTGCTACCACACTTTTAGGTAGCATGGTCACATTCATCCCTTTGACCAGGTATGAAATAATTTGGAGATTTCTGTGCATTATTATTATGTTTGGAATATTGAGATTTTGATGGATGGATGGTGGTAATAGCTCCATGTGTGAGTTAATGAAAGCTAAAATATGTAGAAGATCAAGAGATAAAGTGATAAACATCTTTGGTGCAGTATAAGTGTATAACTAGTTCTAGTGTTCAGAACACATTATGCTCTAATGAGCATTCGATCCTGCAAGTGTAAAAGAAAAGTACATGACTTTCTTGATTGGTCTGCTCCAACGAGCTACAGTCTTGGAGTAACATGCGGATATAAAAGTACAAACCACCAAACAAATATACAAGGTTAATGGCTACTCCTATTACGAGGACGACCCTTTATAGTGGCTATATATGCATTAGTTAGTCCTTGGCGAGTTGGCGTAGTTAAACTACTGCAATAAATGGGGGTAGGGAGTAGAAGGAAAACAAGGGTGACAAAGGAAATATGATTATTCCTTTCCGTGAATGCTTTGTAGAATGAGTACTCTGTGATATTCAAAACTGATGAGTATTAGTATTAATGAAAGAAGTTATTCATCCATTGGGCTTCACTTCTTTTACAGGGTAGAATATGAAGTGTTAGAAGCATTAGAGTCACGGCTGGTTATTCATCCATTGACTGCTCCTATACTTGGAAATGACCATAGTGAGTTTCGCAGTCGTGAAAGCTTGGTATGTGCTATAAATATATTGCTATTATTAATAGTTAATTAAAGTTCTTTTTGGTTAATGTGGGTAATGTTAACTTGAATCTAAAGTAAAGTTGACTCTGTATTAATAAGCAGCAGAGGGGAGGAATGAGGGTATTGGATGGGGATATGCTCGGTCAGTTTTTGGAGCTCACAAGTATGCAACAAGAGGCTGTCTTAGCGTTACCACTTGGCTCACATAATACTATAATTACGTTAACTTCAAAATCCCCTCCTGCACCTATTACTGCGGCTCAAGCTGTACGTCTTCTCGAGCGCGTTCATTATGCACTGAGTTGATGTTCTAGCGAGAAGATGGAGTGAATTTTTCGTGTAAGAATTCAATGTTGATTAATCAATATTGTAACATTTCAATAGAAGATGCACATCAGGAATCCCGTGATCGTATATTTTTTATCTGCTGTTTTCCTTGCAGTGACTTGTTGGGCTTTCCGGTGCCTTGTTTGTAAATTATTCACTCTCTGAATGGTTCAATCAAATATATAATTTGTAGCGTTCACCATAGTTGGTTAAATATGGCACGAGAATTAAACGAGGTTTAATACGCACGCGTTTTATAAATTTTATTCGATAACATGAATGAAAGTAACGGTCAAATATTCGTTGAAAAAAACGTTGACTTTTAAAAAACGTATAAAAAAGTACACGTGTATAATACGATATCTATTACAAAAACCCGGACAAAAAATACGGGTATTAATTTGAACATATAAATTACTCCTTCCGTCTCTATATAAATAGGGATGGACTCGGTTTGGGCCTTGAACCGGCCGGGCCTCGGTTCAAGGTATGGGAGGCCCGGAACCGGCCCGGGTAACCCTGGGTCCGGGCCGGGTCGGGCCTCGGTTCTTTTTTTTGTTTTGGCTTTTCCTAGTTAACCCTCAACCCTCCCCCTCACCCCCAAACCAACTCTAACCACCTCAAATGGCCCAAAATACCTAGCCCAACCCAAAAACTTAAAAAAAAAAAAAAATTGGCCCGGCTCAGGCCCGAACCGGCCGGGCTGGTTCACCTTTTGAAGGACCCGAGCCCGAACCGAGATCCCACCGGACCGGGTGGCCCGAACCGGCCAACCAACCGGTTCACCGGGCCGGTCCGGGCCCGCACAGTAGCGGGCCGGTCCGGTTCCGGTTCGGTTGGCCCGGCCCGAGTCCACCCCTATATATAAAAGTATCCATTCGTTTTCCACACATTTTAAGAAAGTGGGTTTGGTTGGTAATGTTTGGCACTGTTTGGACTATGCTTGGACTCGGGCCGGGCCGTCGGTTCTGTATCCATAGGCCCGAGACCGGCTCGGGTCTTGACCGGTTCCGGGCTGGGCCGGTTCCGGTTCATTTTTTTTGTTATTCTTATTTATTTCACCCCCCATCCCCCATCCCCCATCCCCCAACCCCCCAAACCCCTCGGAAATACCCAGCCCAGCCCAAACCAAAAAAATCAAAAATAAAAATAAAAAAAGGCCCGAACCGGGCCCAGCCGGGCCGGTTCCCCTTTTCCCTTACCCGTGCCCGAAACCGGTAGACCCCCCGGGCCTAGGCCCGAACCGGAACCGGACCCGGTTTCCCGGGCCAGACCGGTCCCGCACAGTAGCGGGCCAGGCCGGTTCCCGGGCTGGGTGGCCCACACCGAGTCCAAGCCTAGTTTGGACACTGTTTGGCACTGTTTTGCACTGTTTTGTTTGCCAAAAAAGGAAAGGGAACTTTTATTTAGGGACGGCCCGAAAAGGAAGCAGATGCTTTTATTTAGGGACGGAGGAAGTATATACTTCACATAATAACATATGTAGTAAAAAGAAATAAAAGTATACACATATTCAAATAGCAAATCCTATTATTACTACATAAAAGAATAATTCGTAATTGCATAAGTCGATCATAAAAATAAAAATAGTAATAAGTCCAAGACATAATTTTGCAACATAATATAAAAAAAGTAAGACATTATAACAATTGAATGAGACTAAATTAAAATCATTATCTTTATGTGATTATCAAATAACATTCGAGTTAAACTCATTATTTTCATCAAGATAACTGGTGACATGAAAAAAGTTGTGACTGCTACTCTTATTACTGTTTATGTGTAAAAATTTAATTAAAAAATGTCAGGTTTAGAAAAACCTTAATTTAGTATGCTTGTTTGAAAAAACATTAAAAATTTAGTTGTATTTTAAGTTTTAGTCTTTTAGTATGCTAGTTTTAGCTGTCATTCAATTAATTTTGGTATTTAATAATTGTATTGTTAACAATACAAACACACCGGATCACGGGAAGGGGGTTTTCCTTTTCACAAATGCTATTGCAGGCTTGCAGCATTTTAGGTTGCTACCCCAATTTGTACCCCATTTTAGGTTGTCCTTAAATAAATGTTATATTTCTTTACAATCCCAACCACAATTTTTTTCATTTTCAACACTTTATTAAAATGAACGAAGGTAATGTGTTTTATGAATTACTTGATTTTAGTAACAAAACAACTTGTATTTCACCTCTTTGGTGAATTAGTGGTAGAGAAATCAAAATCAACATACTTCTTTATTTTATTTATATAAAATTATAGAAATGGGAGACACCATGTGTCATTTGGTCACTAGTTGTCATTGAGAACAAATGTCATATTAATCACTTTAGTCTCATTTTTGAAAAAAATAAAAGGGAAAAGGGGCAAATAAGCCCTCGAACTAATCGAAAAAATGCAAATCACTCCTTTTATAGGAGCCTTTGTCCGGCCGTCATCATTTGGGACGGTTATCGGTGGAATTTTTTGATGAATTTTTTTGAGCATCTTATTCATTAAGTCTAGTTTACTCATGCCAAATTTCAGCTAAAAATGCAATCGATAAGGCAGTCAAATAAATGTTTGAAGATAACTGTGCAGTTAAACGTCGCGGTATATTTCACAAAATCATTTGACTGCCTTCCCGGTTGAAATTTTAGCTGAAATTTGGTATGAGTAAACTAGACTTAAGGAAGAAGATGCTCAAAAAATTCATCAAAAAATTCCACCGAGAACCTCCCCAAATAGCGACGGCTGGACAGCACCTTCTATAAAAGGGGTGATTTGCACTTTTTTGGTTAGTTTGAGCTATTTGCACCCTTTCCCAAATTAAAAACTAGTCATATGTGTGTCCATGACTTTTTATTTAGTATTATTGATGTCAAAATCCATATACTTTCAATCTACTCTATTAGATATTTATGTTCAATTGGTTGCTCAAACGGTCAAACCATTTCAACAAGTCTCAGTGCTTCTAATATACATTATCTTCTAAATTGCATCAACAATGGGTAAATCATATTCATAAAGACAGCTCACATTACTGTCCTAAAATGATAAGGCGGTTGTACTGGTTTGAGTTCTTATAGATGCTTCTCCAACCCAAGTTTCTCAATCACTGCTGCCTTCTCTTCTTCTGCTAGAGAATTGAATATGAAGACAGATTTATCTCCTATATCATCCTGCACCCCCAAGAAATGAATGACCTCATGAAATCTATTGTGGTGTGGATAACACAATGTAGTCAAACATTCTAGTTTTACGGAGTGTGAATTTAACAAATAGGTGAAACAGTTACAAATGATCCTACCTTTATTGGTTGTGTAAACTTTCTTCCTGCAAACACTAGAAAAAGTGTCACCCAAACACCCAGTAGGGTAACTTTTATTCCATCATCCATCAACTCAGTCTGCATATACACATGCACGGAAGACATGAAGTGTTTCAGGGGAAATTAAAGCTAGTTTGAATTCATATCCAATTATTAACTTTTGTAAGCCAAATGTTTATATGTGATTGGATCATCTCTCTTACTTTCTTCTAGTGTTCTAAAAGGCGCTAGGCGCTAGTCGGACGGTGACTAGCCACCTAGCGCCTAGCCCGCCTAGGCGGGCGCCTAGGCGCTGACTAGGGCGCCTAGGTATTTTTCCATCAGTTTTTGTTTTCTTTTTATTTCCTTTGATTTTTAATTATATTACTAATAATTTTATAATATTTTGAAAATAGAAATAGCTCATATAATCATAGATGTTAAGTTTTTTTATAGTAGAATAATCAATAATAAAATAATTAATAAATAAATTAAGATATTTGTGTTTTTACTCTCTTAAAATCTTAAAATACATTCTAAAAAGTTTATTTATATTTTAAAATTATTTTTTAATTGTGAGAATATGAAAATAAATTATATAGGAATAGAATACTTCTTGATCACACGATATTTTAAGATAAAAAGAGAAAAAAAAGTTGGTTCGGGAAATTTTTTAGTCCAGGCCGCCTAGCCACCGCCTAGTCGCCCGCCTAGGCCCCGAAAAGATTTTTCCCACCGATTAGAGCGAAATCGAGGTGCCCGGCAACCGCCTAGCGACTAGGCGACGCCTAGGCCGATTTTTAGAACCATGCTTTCTTCCTTCTATTACCCCTTATGACTTTTCAGCCATTTATCACTTCAAATGGTGAAGGGGAGATGACTTGGCGTAATTGTTATGGAGTTGTTGCTGTGTGACTGAGAGGTCACAGGTTCAAACTGTTGAATTTGGATAGAAAAACCCAGCGGAATACATAAAAAAATCTGCCTGAAAAACCAATAGGATTAAAAGCTCATATCATAAATGAAAATTAAACGATTAAAAATTATATGGAGAAATTCAAGAGTCTTGAGGATGTCAAATTGTCACGGAAAAGCTTCCTGAGCTCTACCGTTATCCACACATGCAAACCATCGGATCGTCTGCAGATCACGAGTTAGCATTCTCCTCTGTCTCTCTCTATTCGATCTGATCGTAGAGATTTTAAGACTACAATTCGTGGCTGCATTAATTAAGAGTTAAGAGAAGAGAGGAGTTAAAGGGGGTTTTATAGGTGATAAAGCCCTCCAGTAAACCCTGACTTATCAGGACTCGAAATCTCTACTTGAATTAGGCTTAATAATGTTATAATTAAACATTAATGATCTATATGACTATATCGCTTAGGTGTGACCCCATAGGTCTATAACGTTGGTAGTAGGCTAGATAATTATTGCAGACCTACAGGTCATAAGCGGTCTAGTAGGGGTGCAAACGAGCCGAGCTGAACCCGAACATGAGTATGCTTGAGCTTGATAAGAATTCGTGAACTCGAACTCAAGCTTGGACAAGTTAAATAATTTGAGCTCAAGCTCAACTCTCGAGGTCAAGTCGAGTTTTGCTAATTAATTTTTATAGATTTGAGCTTAAATAAGATGCTCAAACTCGAGCTTGAACTAGAGCTAAAAATAAAATTTATATTTTCCGAATAAATAAATAATATCTAATATTTGTACTAAATCGTTCTCATTTTTAGTTCTTTCTTCTCTCCTCCATTGACATTTTAATCCTTATTTTACTATCAATTAAATTTTGAAATATATAATGAATAAACATCAATAATCTATCTATGCTTCTTTGGCTCACGATCCGGCTCATAAGCTCAAGAGCTCAAAGGAATTGAGCTCGAGCTTGGCTCGCTTGCTTAACGAGCCGAGTTTGACCAAACTCGACTCGAGTTTTGACGAGTAGCTTGACTCGTTTGCACCCCTAGTCTCTAGCAAGACTTTATGGCTACCCAAGTTACATAAAAGTCTAAGAAATCTTACATAACCTGTTTAATGATTATCAAATGATATCTCGATTGAGACAAGGCTAGGTTCATTTTATCGTTGTTTTTATTAATCCTCATTTCTTGACTTCCAAATAAGATTAATTTTGACAAGTGACCCCTCACTTGTGCATAGTAATTACCATAAAACGAGTTTGTAACATTATTAATTAATGAGCAGTAAATATTCATAAAGAAATCATAAAACTATTATTGTTGTATGGCATATCTGAACACAAGTCTTGGGAGCGACCACTTGTCAAAATTCAAAATGACAAGCGAAGACTTGCTCCTTATACACCCTTGTGATGGGACCCTTCCTCGGACTGCCAATGTGCATTGGACTGTCCTTTTTTTTCACTCCAAATGATAGAGATCTACACGAAACTTGAACAGTACCAATACGAGTTCTAACTTCTAACAACAGTCTTATATAAAAGTAGCTCAATGCTCTAAATGTTCTGTATTTTGATATTTGTGCGTTATGGGATGACTTAACATGAAGAGAGCACAAGAGGGAAGATCGACGTCTGAAGTGAATGCCTGAAGGCGTTCGCTCCTACTTCTCTCTACGAACTGTCCGTACATCATCTTCTTCATCCAACCGACATTTCGTTTCCTGATTTTTTACCTTTGATTTGTGTGTTTTGAGCTTCAATATTAACTGTAATACATTCCCTTCCTCTAGGGGTGTATTATCTTTAATTTTTTAGCTCCAAATCCATAGACTTGGGTGGTTCTTGAACGATTTGGTCGCACAAACACTATTCATCTACGAAAAACCTTTTCATAGATCCCTTTTGAACCTTTTGAGCTAAGATGATTATGGATATGGGGTGAGAATCGTCTTCCCTAGACGCACCTTCTACTCTAATCTTAGCTCCATCAGCCCCATCCGTACACTCCTCATTTGACCGTTAGTACAGACAGCTTTTCCCCCATTAGTACGGAATAGAAGCTCATAGAGAGAGGGGAAGTTTGAGAAGGACTTTGGGGGGTTGTCTCATCTTGGGACGTCCTTGGATGTTCATCATGACTTCACATAGCTAAGGACTCACTCCCTAGCTAAGATTAACACATGCAAGGCGGGTAAGGCCGTGTCTCCCGTAGCCCCAATGACCAGCAAGGACAAGCTCAAATCAGTGAAGAAACTCCAAGCTCAACACTTGGAGGCTAAGGATTTGGAAGACATTGAGAAGACCCTCTCTTTCATTGAAGGAGAGCGAAGTGTGGACAGTATGTTAGAGACTCGGTGCAGCCCAATAAAGATGACAATTATTACGGAAGAGTCTATTCTAGAAAGGGGAGAAAGAAGAATAGTTGTTAGTTAAAGTCTGTTAATAACTAATAACTGTAGGCGGTTGGATGGCTTACTATAAATAGAATAGACCGGGGAAATAAGGGGAAATAAGTCAGGACTAGGAAGATTAGAGTTCTAGCTCTATCTTTTGGGGGCTTCGGCCATTGTAACTCTGTTTGATTTCAATAAAGCTGGTGAAGTTCTTTTGATTTCTTCTGTGATATTACTGTGATTTTGGTGTCTCTTACAGTGGTATCAGAGCACGACGATCGATCTCTGGATGAGATATACACGTGCGAAGATGGACGGACGAATGACGGAAGTGGAAAAAAGCTTGACAGATATGACAGGAAGGCAAAATACGATGGAGACGATGATGACCGCTATGCAACCGAGTCTCGCTTATATTCAGAATCGACTTCCAGATCGTGCGCGAAGTAGGTCGCAGGCCTCCCTCCTCAGCTTCGCATCGCAGTTCTCACCATCAGCGATCACGAAATTCAGAGATTGATGACGAATCGGATGGAGGCTCGGATCATTCACCACATCGTAATCACCGACATCACAGGGAACACAATATACGTCACCGAACAGGAAGGAAGATCGATTTGCCATTATTTAATGGAGATGATGCATACGGCTGGTTGGTTAGAATCAACCGATATTTTCGTCTTAATCAGATTGAGGAAGACGAGAAGGTAGATGTGGCGGTGGTTGCTATGGAAGACCGCGCACTGAGTTGGTTTCAGTGGTGGGAGTATAGAAGAGTCTAGACAAAGAAAAGTCTAGACCACAGTTACAAAATTAATTAGAATTATCAGTTACAAAATATTTGTATTTAATATTATAATTAGGAACCTACCTTATTAATCCCTAGAATGTTGTATAAATAGCCATTCATTTCATGGAATAAACCAAGTCTTTCAGTCTCAATTCCTTCTTATTCTAAATTCCTTTATGGTATCAGAGCCACTAGAGGCCTAATCGGCCTATTCTCTTCAACGAACTACTCTACCACTATCACCCTCCTCTGCCCACCTCTGCCCATGGCTACTGAAGATAACAGAGACAAAAGTCCAGAAGACGTTCATGATAACTCAACATCATCTCTCTCAGCCAATAATCCCCTAACCCCAAGGTAGTCAAAAGCGAGCGCCTGGGCGCTTAAGCGCACCAGGCGCAGCGCAAATGAGGTTTAGCGACTGAAGAATGCCCAGACGCAGCTCCCTATCTAAAGCGCAGTTTAGGCGCAGAAGGCTGAAGCGCAGAGCATGGGAAAAGCGCACGCTCAAGTCGCCTGGGCTGGGAAAGGCTTATCAGTGCCTATTTTTTGTTTGATCCTTTTTTTTAAATAATAAGCCCATACTTATAATAAGATATAATAAGATTTAGCCCGTCCAAATAATAGGTAAAAAAACTTAAACCCATATTAAACCCTTCTTAGTCGTGGGAAAAGTCTTCTATCTCGAGTCTTGACTTCATCGTGAATCTCCTGCGCTGCTATATGCTCTACTTGCGCAACATGCTCAGCACTGAAACACATTCAACAAACCCACAGAATCCAGAAACTCATAAGGTGTCTTCTTCATCATCATCTTCCCATGTTCCTTCTTCTTTCTTTTTCAGCTTGTAGTTTTCATTTATTATGTCATCTTCTTGGGGATCCTTTCATTTTATTCTTTCAGTAATTCAGTCTATCTTCTTTCTTTACATTTATCAGTTCTAGTCATCTATGTATACTTTATAGCTCTTTTTGCTTCTAATATATTCTATACAACTCAAACATATTATATGTACCTGACTACCAGTTTACATTATCTGTACTCTATTTTATTTTATCTTATTATACACTCTATAACTCTGTATCTTCCTATTATCATTTCATATTTTAACTGTATAAAAACTTCATATAATCTAACTCAGTTAATAGTTTCATACACTATAATTTATGCTATCCCTAGTGCTGAAATTGCAAAATCAACAGACAGACCCCACTTTTTTTTGTGAACAATGACTTTAGTTTTGTGAATCAGGACTTTATGTTTTAGAAACATGACTTTTTGATGCATTTAGTTCAATATGATGTTGAATATGTCATATTGAATCACTCTAGAATAGTATACATAATATTTTCTGAATAGTGCGCTTGACCCGAGTCAGGCGAGCGCTTTTTTGCACCTTGCGCCTCAGGCGCCGGAAGGCCCCAAGCGCTTCAAGTGCGCCTTTCGACTTTGACTACCTTGCCTAACCCCGGATGGCCTTATTATGCTCAGCCCTAACCAATTCCAACAAAAACTAGATGGATCAAATTACCTTGTATGGAGAGACCAAGTAATGGACCTGCTGTTCGGTTCTCATCTGGATCAATATATTGATGAAAAAATAGGTCCTTTCGTGGGACTTTCTTAATAGTGTTCTCCTTAACATTGGCTTTCCACCAAAATTTGTTAACTGGATAATGGAATGTGTTTCTAATGCCTCATTTTCTCTTTCTCTTCATGGAACTTTACATGGTTTCTTTTGTGGAAAGAGGGGTCTAAGACAAGGAGATCATATGTCCCCACTTCTTTTTGTATTATGTTTGGAATACTTATCTAGGCTTTTGAACTTGCGAACTACATCTGATTTTAACTTTCACCATAAATGTGGCAGTCTTAAGATATCACATCTTGCCTATGTTGATGATCTTATGCTTTTCTGTAGAGGGGACACTTACTCTATCAAAGTTTTAATTGATGCTTTAAATGATTTTGGTGATATCTCGGGGTTGAGGGTTAATTTTGACAAATCAAACATATCTTTGGGAGGGGTTAGGGACAATGACCCCACGGCTATTCTTGACTTGGTTGATTTCAAAGTTAGAGTCTTCCCGGTTAAATACCTTGGTGTTCCCATCTCCCCTCTTAAACTTTCGATGGCACAATATGCACCACTTTTGGATAAAGTTTCAAATTATCTCAATTCTTAGAATACCAAACTCTTTTGGATGATATATATACTTACCTTTTATCAAAAAAAGCACAAGAGGGAAGACAGCTAACCCCAACTTAAATTTTCATCATTTGCAATGGAGCAACCCCCAACTTAACTAATACACCATTTTTCATTTATAAAAAGGATTTATAAATATATGCTTGTGCAGTTGTTAAGTAGTACCAGGTGTCCTAGAAGGAGTAACGGGATAATGAATGTGAGAATTCCAGCTTCCAGCTTTCCATAGCAAAGCCCTGTTTGAATGAAGGTTAATTTAAGAGTTAGGCCTTGTTTAGTAACAACTATTGGCTTATTATGCTTCTCTGTAAAATATTGGTTTATTGACTTACTTGGCTGAACTTTTTTCTAAACACTCTCCTCTCAGAATATTCAGCAGGTTTAGTTATTTGACTTATTTCAGCCAAATTCTTACCAAATAGACCCTAAGTTAAGGCCCTATTAGTCTAGTAAAACCCAAGCACCACAATTTTTGGCAAAGTGCAACTAAGCTTATAAGGTAAAACAGTGTATAACTGAAGCAGTGGTTATGGATTTATAGTTAACCTATCATACCTTCCTTGAAGACGAGCCCGGTTAGTGAAGCAAAGAGAGGGCCCACAAACCAGACAGTTGTTGGATTTTCAATAATATATTGTACTAAACTGCAGTGGGCAGGTTGAGCAAGCACATAATATGTGGTCAATGATCCAAAAACACCTAACATCCAAAGTGCTTGGAGTATGCTTTTGATTTGAGTTACATAGATGTGAATAAAATAGAGAGAAAGACCCAATCCACTTGCTCCAAGCACGTAAAGGACATCAAGGTTTATCTCAATAAAATCCCTTATTAAGGAATTGTCCGGAAGCAAAACTGCCGAGGATGCAAGAACAAATGAAACAGCAGCCATCACTGATCCTAATCTATATAGGATAACCTGGACAGTCAATCATCATTAACATCAGAACAACATAAAAGAGCATAGAACATACTCGGTATATTTTTAAATATTAAAAAAAAAACAAATTAGGTAGTGGTTTAATGAGCAATGGGCCAAAGTTTTCTCCCCATATTATGTAAACTCTTGCATAAAAATTTATTACTTTTATACAACAGAGCTTATAACTCTGTTTAATTAAAATGACAAAGTACTACCAAACCCTCATTATGATGCTACCTGATCTGTGTTAAAGATTTCAATTTGATTGACCAACTCATTAACTTACTGCACAGGAACAATTCAAACCATGAGCTCAAAGAGTTGGATAACACATCAAATGCATTCAAAACTCATAAAGTTAATTAAGAATGGAAAAAGATAAGAGCAGCGGTAATACCTCCCGGACGTCAGAGTCTTCGACCTCCCACGGACCATAAATGCCTTGATAAACTACCTTTGAATCGGAGTGAGACGATGAACTTTCTCCGACGGCCTGACATTTTGTATTCCTATTCCCTATGAACAGAGTAGCAGCAGTAGTCGAAGAGACAGAAAACGAAGCAGAACAAATAGATAACCCACCGAAAAGAGCACGCTTTGCGGTTAAAGAGGAAAGCAAAACAAGCCTCCTTCTCTCTTTTACCAGTCTCCCACTAAAAGGTGAGAGACACGGAGAATGATTATCAGAGGCGATGGTTAAGATTGACGGCGAAAGGAACGCCGCCGGCGAAGTATTCATACTTCAGCTAAGCCTTGCTGATTTTCGCACAATATTGTGCGTATTTTTAGTTGAAACGACTTCATAAATTAAAACTACGTTCTCACGAGTACAAAATATAATCAAATCAAATAAAGTTTTGTTTATATCAACGTTCAACAATAAAATTTTAAAATGACAAAATTGCAATGTATAAAAAGAGTGAAAAGAGGGAGTTATTGAATAATATGTTATATATTAAATACAGAATTGTTAAGAAGAGATGTTAAGAATTGTTATATTTTAAATACAGAATTGTTAAGAAAGAGATGTTAACATTTATAATGTTTCAAAAGCACACAAAATATAAACATTATCATGAGCGAATAAACTATAAATTTTGCAACACCTCTTGATAAACAACATTAATAGTATGATCATTTTGTTGATCATTGTCCTCACTATCAGTATTTTCAAAAAATATTGACTTGGCTATATGATTGGTAACTTGAAAAATGCGACAAAAATTGACTTTGTTCGTGTTTATTTTCTTTGTATACAACATCATTATTAGGAATTGTCTTCCTTAAAACTTAAAAGGTATTTGTGCATCTAATAGTGTAATTGTCAATTGTCATATAAGTACTTCTTGACCATCACATTCCCTGCCTAAAATTTTGTTCCAAAATATGATTTCCAAATCAAGTGATTATCAAATATCTGGTCTAATTTTATTAATATTATAAAATTACAATTATTATAAGTTTTAAATAATATAAATATTATAAATTTTAAATTATGAATATTCTAAATATAATGAATTGTATTATAGATCCTACTAAACCCAACAATTTCATATATTAACATTTAAAGAGGTCCAGAAATATCTAACTTGTCATTCCAATCATGCTCCAATCAAACGCCCCTTTCAATTTTTCGACATGTGATTATTTGGAGTATAAAATATTTTGGATGATTGAAAACCTATTAAAATATATATACACTTATTTGAAAAAATATATATATTAATTAAAATGAAATCAATACATCCAATTAAAACAAAACCAATCATTCACACAAATATTTTAATATTTTTCCAATTAAAACAAAACCAATCATTCACACAAATATTTTAATATTTTTTGGTGGCGCATTTAAGCCCACACACCCCATGTATATAATTAAGATTATCCACATTTGAAGATAAATGTGGTAATTACCTGTATGGTGCACTTCTCTGAGCCTCATATCATTTATGTCCGAGTCCTTTTTTCTTTTCATCTTTAAACTTTGGTCTTTTCACTTATAATAATATTATTATTTCAAAAATGTCTACCATCCCGCACACCATCACCGAAATACCGAGACCCCAAAATCAAAAATCCTCCTCTTACCAAAAACTCGTTTGTCCGGCCACTCTCATCGGCCGGCACACCATCACCAAAATACGCTCCTCAAATTTCTATGGCACAAATTATTTTCTTCAATTTTCACTTCAATCTTACAACACTTCTCCCGTGATGTTTGTTGATTTCTTTTGTTGATTCAACAATGTGTTTCATGGTCTCTTCTAAACGGCAAGGAATGTCGACGAAGGAGGCTTGGCGGCAAACTAAGATGAAGGAGCAGGATTCTCTGCAGGTTTCTTTGATTTTCTCTATTTGTTGGCGAAGAAGGAAGATGGGGCAGCAAGGTATATGATACCCCGATATCTAGGCATCCTATGCAGGATAAATATATGATCTGTTCATGATCAATACGTATTAGATTTTTAGGAATCTTATCCAGGATTAATATCCGATCTATTTATGGCCAATCTATATTAGCTTTGAATTTTTTTATTGTATATAATTTTGCCTCAATTGTTGATAACATCCTCATTTTATGCCGATTGTTAAACTTGGCAACCATGTTTTTGTAAAATTAAACTTTTCAATGTTAAAAAAAATCAGATTCAACAATGTTGTAGATGGCCTGTAACCGACTATGGAGCTTAGACGACTCATTTTGCAGCCTCTCTTTGTTCATGGTGTATTACATGTTGTCCTAGTTGCTCTGTCTTTTGGATCGACTTTCAGGTGATGGAGAAGCATCAACAGAGGTTGCTCAGCTCTTTTTAACATAATAAATAGCCGCTGAATATATTGACTCTACCCCTATTAACATCCCTTACATATCTGCTATTACGATCTCTTTCTAACATCACTACACTCATTCAGCTTTGATTTAGTTTCAGCATGAGTATGTGATTGAATCATTTCTAGTGTATCATATAGTGTTGCAGAATCCAATTCAGTTGTATAGATTTGTTTTATTCATTTAATAATTGATTTGCAATTCATATGATTTCCCCCTAAAGTTCGTGTGATTTGGTAGAATTTTAACTTGTATGCATTAGTTTGGTGAGTGTATTGTATATACTGTTCCAATCCAGATTCCACTATCAGTTTGCTTCCTATTTCTTCCCTTGTTTTCATGAAGTCTACTCCAAAATGATAATTCCTTGACCACTATGCAGCTTCTTACATGAAGTAAGATTGCTTGAAATTTCTTTTGGATTTCAAGCAAGCATTGTATCGTCGTCAATTTGAACAATGTTAACTTGTTAAATTAGCATAGTAGTATTTTTTAGGATCATGCAGGGACTCTTGCTATTCTCATCATCGACTGTTTTTGTACTTGAGGTGCACTTGTAATAATGATGTGCACTCAAAATAAATACAATACAACAAATATACGTAGTATATTGAATTAAGGTTCGTATCTACAGGGAAAAGAATGTTTATTTTTACGTAACTAGTAACAAGGGGGGATTTTATGATTGTTGATAAATTTAAATGTATTTAAACACTAAGATGAACGACTTATGTGATTTACTTTAATAGGGATGAAGACTTGGTTTTGCATTTATCCACTTAATGAAATGTTCGTTGATCCCGGTTATATCTTTAACTATCTTCCTCTCGAATACTCAATCGAGGAGTATATCCAGTTCATCGAAGGTAATTATTAATAACGAGACGCGTTCATTAATAAAACTTACTACCGAGTCAATATAGAACATGCGCCGTATATTAACCCGATAGTAGCAATAAACTTAAGATGAAAACGATTGAGATTGATAACCTCAACACAAGCGGTTTATTGGTTTAATCAATATAATTAATTCCCCTTAGATTATTAACCATGAGACGCATGCATTAATAATTCAAGTTTTACTACCGTTGAAAGAACCGAATTAATAACAAGCGTATTAATCGATTGATTCTAGTAATAATTAATATATGAAACAAAACTAGTTGATCCTTTAAGTAATGCTCAAAATACTAATATGGAATATGAATAGGAAATAATTAATATTCAAGGAAGAAGATTAAAGAAAATAACTCACAACTTACAAATTCATTAAGCTTCAAAGTAGCAAAACCAAGATGGAATAGTTTAGCTCCTCATTTGGAGACTAAACATGAAGAAAATATAAAGAAAGAACTTGTCTAAACTGAGCTAAGAAGTATATGTGAAAATGTTTTTTTTATTGTGAAGGAAATGAGTGTATTTATAGGCTTTTGGGGGCTGCAGGGTCTGATACCCGACCAGGTGTATAGGATACCCGATCGGGTATGTTAGGAAATTTCCCAGAAAATGACTTTTTGGGACATACCCTATCGGGTATGTTGGCATACCCGGTCGGGTATGAGCCAAAAAGTCAAAACCCTGCACGTTTTATTATCTTTCCAGATTCTGATTTTGACACCTGAATCAACTCAATACCCGATCGGGTATGTCGGTGTACCCGATCGAGTATGTGACAAATCTTTACGAAATCCTTCTCCCACAATCATTTGTTCCCGAATTTGATTTGGACAATCGAATCAAGCAAATACCCGATCGGGTATTGCTTATACCCGACCGGGTATAAGAGTATTTTATCCAAATCGAAATCTTTCTTGCCTCCTTGCACTTTCCTTGATCTTTTGAGGTCCTTTGGATGATCTTTGATCCTTTGGATGATCTTTGACCTGTTTAGCTCAGAAAAGTCCTAATCTAAACAAATTGCAAACATTTTACAAACTAAACTATTACACCAAAAGTGTGTAATTTCTACAACTAGAACTAATAAAAACTATTTAAAATTACAAAAATAAACAATAACAATTCTATACTATCAAAGTCTCCCCTACTTAGTCCATTTGCTCATCCTCAAGTAAAAGCCAACATAACACTTCACAATCCATAGAACAGATAAAGTCAAAAGAATAACATGTTCAGTTTTTCAATCATCCTCAATTTACAAAGAAAGAGGGTCTTCATGATCTTCAAGAAAAATTATTCTTTTTATTGATTGCATCCCAAAAACTCCCAAGTGAAATGAGTTCCTGTATAAACCCGGATGAAATTTCCTCTCATTCTCTCATTCTGCCTAGGAGCCTTTTCATGTTTTCATCCTAGCCTCTCTTTTTTTCAAATCACTCATTTTAGCCACTTTTGCTTAGATTGCCCAATTTCGGGTTTTCAACATAACTAGCATTTTTTTCTTTGTCTGCTTTTTTAGGATAATGCAAGTTCAAGCTGGAAAGAATGAGTACATATCAAATGAGTGACTCCCCCCTACTTAGTCCGAGCACTGTCCCTAGTGCTCTCATGTCATATTTGTTTGGATGTTTTGTTTTTGTTTGAGGGGTGAGATTTGAGGTTAGTGGAGAGATGAAAACAAAAATTGGGGTTTTTCAAATAAATTCAGCTCAAGGGAATGGGGAATTTGAGTTTTTTTTTTGGGATCTAGAGTTTGGTGTGTTTGGTCATGGGGATTGTGCGAGAGGTTTGAATTTGGATGAGATGTAGATGGAGATTCGGGTGTTGATTTTGGTTTAAAACCTCCATTACCCGACCGGGTAGGGCTATACACCAGATCGGGTGTGTGTTCTTGTGCTCTTAACTCGGAGGCATGCCCGATCGAGTTCGGTTGTACTCGATCGGGTGATTCGGGCCGAAGGATTTCAGTTTTTTTTTTTGTTTTTTTTTTGTTTTTTTAGCATACCCGATCGGGTAGGGCTATACACCCGATCGGGTATGACATCTTTTTTTTGTGTGTGTGTACTCGATCAGGCATTTGACGCCGTAGTTAATTAGAAAAATATACTCGACCGGACAATGGTCA